CCGCCTCCCTGCCGCTCGCTCCCCTCCTGCCTCCATCTCAGGTCACTGGATAACCACGGGCCAGTACTGCGATTCCTGATGTAAATACGGGGAAACGGAGAGAGAAGGTGACTGGCCCAAAGGGGCTATTTCAGCCTCTGGGTCCAACGTGACCAGCACGCTCTCCTCCTCGCTGGAGAGAGACAGGCTCTTCCAAAGGGATATCCAGCACCAAGATCCTGACCAAGCTGCCCTCTGTGTGGTCAGTGGACACGCACACACACCTCAAAGGGGAAATCTGAGCAGCAGCCTACCTAAAATGCTATGAATTGGCCCCCGAACTCCTTCTCTGCTGGCGACTGCCATGGAGCAGCACCATGGGTTGGTTGTGCCCATGGAGCTCCTGACATGCCATGCGCTCAGCTGAACCAGAATGGCGCAGGGTGGGTTTATTGCTTCTCATGCAGCTCCCATGGGAAATCCTCTTCCCACATCCCTCCATCCCAAGGCGCAGACCTGGGGTGCTCAGCAACGCCGCAGGAGCCCCCCCGGCGCGTTTCCAGGCCAGGCAGTGAGGAGCCACGGATGCTCTGGCTCCTACTCCCTCCCTGGTGGCCTGGGAACTGGTGCTCAGGGACCTGTTTTGGCTTTGAATCACTGCTGTCGGGTGATACCTCATCCAAACGCATCCTCTCCCAACCTCCCCACACATCCTCTCGCTATCTCCTCCCCGCCCCCATGTTTAAAAATCCATTCCCCACACACCATTACACCCTTGCAAGCCAATACAGATTTCTGAGCTGAACACAAGGCTCAGGTGCCATTCCAGCACACCAGGGCAGTAAAGACTTTACAGCATTTGTACCTATTCTTGATTACATGCTTTTCCTTAAAAAAGACGCAGTACATCAGAGAAATTCCTTACGCTGGACTAGGGATTCGGGAGGCACAGTTGCCATGACAGCCCCTCGCGCCTGCCGGTCTTGCTGCGCGGTTCATCTGCTCATTCCAGCATTCGGCGTTTGCCCCCGTCCGCGTCACCGCGGAGGCTAAATCACTCTCTGAGCTTGTGCCCAGTTTCCCAGCTCCCCCTTGCCAACGGGACTGGGTGGCAGGGTCTTGGTTTACTGCTTTCCACTCACCTTTAAATAAATACAGCCTTGAGAGGGCTCCAAATGGATGTAAGCACCCACAGCACAAAACCACCCGTTAGAGGCAGGACTGGAAATTGCACAGGGGTGCAAGCAAAGAGACTAAGCGATTCAGGAGCACAGAAAGGATTTTTTCAAGGCTCTCTGGTAGCTCCCACACTAAATAATCCTGCTTTTCCTTATGGCTTGGACTGGACAACAATGCAGACACTGCAATGAGATTTTGCCGATGCTGTCTCTGTTCTCTGGCTACTTTCCAGGGAAGTCAATGCAATATTAATCCCCAGTGCTCAGTCCCCTTGGAACATGAATGAATGTTCAAAGACACTGAAAGGCTTCATCAGAATAAAGATGGGCATTTTATCAACACAAAGGAACAGGGATGATTGGCGGATTGAGAAAAAGGTGCAATCAGAGAGCGAACATAGCGAGGGAGACAAAACAGCGCAGAAGCGAAGCCCCCCGGGGCACACTGCCCTGTCCTCCCCTCCACTCCCACGCCTGGAAGGAGCCCTGTGCTAAGTATGATACGTCATAAAGATTACGGTTAATTAGGAGGAAATGTGGAAAGAACAACTACATGCCTAAATCTTTTATGAAGCCAACAGAAACCGGGCACCATCTGAATCCCAAGAAATTTCTCATCACCCATTGACACGCGCATACCTGAGAGAGCACTTCCAGAAATACCAAAGGAAATTCCAGTCACTAAAACCCAGCAGGACCCGTGCTCCTGCCAGCCTTTCCAGCCTCTTCCAAGCAATAACTTCTCCTATCCTTAACCAAGGCTTGGCTGTGTCTTTACTGAGAGTTCAAAGACTTCTACAGCGGTAGCCTTTACACAGATGCTTTTCTTCTCCCCCATCCCAAATGCTCCCAAACAGTTACTCCCTTCCCTCCTTGCGCATCTATTCCCAAGGACTTGGATATGAGAGCAGCACCCCTCACTGCCCACCTGCAGCTCCAAGCCTGTTCTCAGTAGGGAACTGGGGGAATTACAAGAGGTTTTTATTTTTACCGCGTTTTCCTCAGTCCTTCCTAGGACTCCCGCATCCTCGTAACAATACATCTGCCTGCTCTCACCTTGGCACAGAGGGATCGCTTCGTTCCAGTGGAAGTAGCCCTGGGGGTGCTGGGAGCAGGTGGTGGTGCTGTGGCCAACGAGACGGTAGCCTGTGTCGCAGCCAAAGCGGACCGTGCTGCCGGGGTGCAGGCCCGTCTGGCTGAGAATCAGCCCGTGGGCTGGCGGCTGCGGCAGGCTACAGTAAGGAGCTGGAGAGAAGGGCAGAAGAAAATAAATCAGTCACTGGATTGCCAGTATTGAGACAAATTCCCTTCCTGTTCTCAGGAATTACACCGTGCTTACCATAACCTAAGGCTGTACAAGGAACAGAGAACTTGTGATGGATAAATACAAAGTCAAAGGGGGAAAGAGTGCAGGGCTACTATCCAAGTTTCACTCAGCTCTAGAAATAAAGACTAATTTCTGATAATTAAATATTACTTAATTCATTTACTGAGTAAAGTCATTATTTATTTATGACATACTGGCAAGTTCTCAAACCCAGTTTTATAACTTCCATTAAGATTTGCTAAGTTCCAAACCAGTAATTCATTTTAAGGAATTCTCAGCAAACGTTCAGTATCCAGCAGTGGTTTTGTGCTGAATGAGCAACCTAGACTCCCCAGTCCCGCTCCTGCGAGAGCAGCGGCAGAATGCCGGAGCAGGAGCACAATGTGTTGTAAACAGTTCACTACAAGTGCTCTAACACCATCGGTCACGTGGAAGCTCTGCCTCATGCACCAAGCAGCTCCTAACACAAGTTCTTATGCTTTGTGGTGTTCATCTTCAAACATCTCAAAATGGCCTCACTGCAAGGACACAATAATTTCGTAACACAGCAGTCTTTACTGTGAATGGCATGGGATGGGTTTCATTCATCCAGAGCCACGTCGTCTATGGTTATATACTCTGGTTCTGGTACTTAAGAGTGGTTGAGAAACCAGCCAAAGCTTCAAGGTTTCTGCTGGAATAAACCTGCCTTCCCCAGCCTCACCAGCTCAGAATGAGCCCAGCTTTGCGTGCCTTCCCAGGCCTTGGCAGCTCCTGCTGACACAGATGGCCTATACCCCTCTCTGCAGCAATTTCGTGGAGATCCTTGGCTGAAGAGATGGCCACGTCCTTGGCAGAGGCATCTAGGCTCTGCTGTGTGCTTACCAGAGTAGCGGATTTTGAAGCCTTTTCTGTTGTAGGCATGATCAGAGGACCAACGGAGATAGACTTTGTTCCCGCTGCTGGTGACGGTCAGAGGGGCAGAGTAGTTCCCACTCAGCGACAGGAGCAGAGGACTCTGGCCAGAGGGACCTGTGCAGAAGGAGCGAACGAGGGAAAGTCAGGGCTGACAGACAGACAGTCACTCGTGGGCCTTATGTGCCAGGGTGTTTCTGCAGAAGGAGCAGGCACACTGTGGAACTGTAGCACAGGAGCTTTCACTATGAGCCCAGGAATGGCAGCTCACGCTCAGGGGTTTTTTGTGAACACGAGTCCCAGTTGCAGACACCTGGCTCCTGGGAAACCAAGGGCAAATAAAGCCCAACTGATCCCAATGAGACCAGGATTTTGCTCCAGGCACTATGCCTTCGGCTCAAGTCCCGATGGGAAACCACAGGAGCATGAGCACAGCACTTGTATTCTGCATTTGGTTACAAAACTGCATCATTGTGAATATTGACAGATCCCCTCTCGGTTCATGAGAACTCATGGACCTACAAAATCTGGTCTGCATAGGCTTCAGGGATGAGAAGTCCCACCTTCTCAGCTCGTCCCTCCCCAGCAACCTCCGCCACAATTTCTCCCAGGAGCTTTCTAACTCCTGCCCCTTGGAAAAATACTTGAGTCATCCAAAACCCAAATCACTGATATTTTCTTATCCAGAGAATGAATGAGTCTTAGGAGGAGCTTTCCTTAAGTCCAGCAGAAGGTGATAGGCATAGTGGTGGAAAGCTCTCCCCAGAGTGCTCTGGGAACAGAGATGAACAACTAATGGAACTCTGCTGTTTCTTTCCTTTCCCCTCAGTTGCTATGCAAGTCAAACTGGTGAATCTCTTACCGTCAAAGATTTCAAACTCATCATATTGCTTCTCGCTCAGGAAGTACTCGATGGTGAGGGAGATGTTATACCCAGGCTCTACCTTCACCACCCAAGAACAGGTCTGAAAGTGAGGGTAACTTCCCAGGAAGCTCTGGCTGAGGATCACACCGGTGGAGTCGGTCATAACCTCGTTCATCGGACAGTGCACTGCAGGGAACAGGAAGGAGAGACAACAACAAATGAATTCTCCTGTTTTGCAGAGGAAGGAAGGAAACACAAGACACTACGGCCAAGAAGGTCTGTCTTGGCGAGCTAGGTCAAGACAGGGCACAACTCCCACCCACGTACATCCACTGCACACCTTGACCCTTGAGCTCGCAGAGAATCCCTAAACCCTGGTGCAGGCTCCAAATGACACACGCTGCGTTTCCACAAATCCCAGCAATCGCCACATTTAAAGAAAGGGGCAAAAAGCAACACCACAAACAAGCAATTTCAACCACTTTTGCATTATTTCACATCTCTCTCAAAACGAATGGCACTGCAACCAAGCAACTACTCTCAAGTTACAAAACACTCCCCAGGAATCCCTGGAAACTTTATTACCTGGGTAGAATAAGGCGTGGAACTACAGGCTTATCCCAGGTCACCCACAGAGTTGTTAAGTAGGACATAAGAACTCCAATTCCTTTTCTAATCACTACAGCCCATTCAGCTTCTGGAAATATTAAATCCAGCTAAAAGCACTAAATAAAAAGGCCAGCAAAAACACCCCGGAAGAGGAGGCAAACACACAAAGTGAGCAAAAAGCATAAAAAGAAAGGGGTCTTTATTTATCCATAATTGTCACTAAAACCCAGTGCAAACACTGTACTTGTATTAACAGAAAATGGCCAGAACTATCCAGAAAGAACAGTGTATTCTTTCAAAATCCTTAATCCCATCAGCGATTTTTTGACCTCTATAAATTGGTGGCCAGATGTAATTTAAGCAGTCCCTTTACCCCCAGGCTAACAACCATCAGTAAATAATTGAATGACCTCCCTTTCTCTCCTTCAGTTCACGCTATTTCAGAGAGAATAAAGCTATAGAAAAATATCCCATTATATGGTAAAAATGTTCAGATAGGAGGGAATGAAGGAGATGAAATAATCACGGCTGGAGTGAACGAAAGTACCAGCCGGAATCCAGAGGATAAATAAGGTAACATGGTAGCATGGAAACATCTTTGGGATCCCTCCTGAGCAGCAGCAAGGTGTACAACGCAGCGTGCTCGGGGCTTTCATTTTTCTCCCATGTAATACATTCTGTGGCACTAATAGAGAAGCTGTTCCTCGCAGGATTGCCTCGCCGGAGGAGCTCGCTTCGCTGCAGCCTGCTCTTCCTTCGGCTGTTCATGTATCACCAGCAAACTGTCAGCGCAGAATTCCTCCCCCGCTTCCAGGGTAAGGACATTTGGGTGACTGTTTTAATGACTTCGCGAATGCAGTCAGACACGCAGTGCACAGACCTCTGCTCAATCCCTGCTCAGGAAAGTACAAGCTTCAAGTGCCTTCCTGAACCGGGGGCTTGGGGCATAATCCAGGGGTACCCAACGTGAGGCAAACCCCTTCGGAAGGTGCGGAGACCCAGCAAATTCCCCAGAGCCAGCGGAG